AAAAAAAAAAAAGAAAAGAAAAGAAATGAGAGACACCATTTAAAGGTGGAATTTATAATTAAAAAGGAAGCAGAATGGAAAGATTTGGAATATTTGCAGCCTGGCCATTTAAAGAGTTGAAAAGGTGTGTTTAGGAGAGCAAACTAAGTAGTCAAGTGGCTGCTAAAGAGATCAGTACCAACAGAAGGGAGCCAGGTGCTATTTCTCAAGACACAATGGGAGAAGGACTCAGAGACCCTTTCAAGGCTGCCCTTCTCCTCACAGGCCCAGAGAAGGGTCATAAGGTCAAGGTTTCCAGAGATGAGCCTGCAGGATATCAGTATTTATTGCCCTGTACTGCTTGGAGACTCTACTCCCCACATTCCAGCACAGTGCCCCCTCAGCTGCCCCAGCCATGGTTCTAACAGGGCCAGGTGTGGCTCAACCTGCCACTCCAGAGGGTACAAGTGGTAATCTTTGGTGGCGTCTATGTGATGCTAGTAATAATTCTGTAGGTGAAGCCAGGTGGAGTTACTCACGCCTGTAATCCTAGCACTCTGGGAAGCCAAGGTGGTGGATTGCTTGAACTCAGGAGTTCAAGACCAGCTGAGCAAGAATGTGCCCCTGTCTCTACTAAAAATAGAAAAAAAAGAAAAAAACCAACTAGCTGGGTGACATGGTGGTGCCTATAGTCCTAGCAACTGGGGAGGCTGAGGCAAGAGGATTGTCTGAGGCCAAGAGATGGAGGTTGCTGTGAGCTATGATGATGCTGTAACACTCTACTCAGGATGACAGAGTAAGACTCTGTCTCAAGAAAAAGAAAAAAACTACCATCGAATTTTTTTTTTTTGAGACAGAGTTTCACTTTGTTGCCCTCGGTAGAGTCCTGTGGCATCACAGCTCACAGCAACCTCAAACTCTTGGGCTGAAGCGATTCTCTTGCCTCAACCTCCCAAGTAGCTGGGACTACAGGCACCCATCACAACGCCTGGCTATTCTTTTTTGTTGCAGTTGTTTAGCTGGCCCAGACCAGGTTCGAACCTGCCACCTTCGGTATATGTGGCTGGTGTCATAACCACTGTGCTTCAGGCGCAGAGACGGAAATTTTCAAATGTAAGTAAGAATAGCACAATGAACCCTGTGTATATATTATCCAGATTAAACTTACCAATGATTTGCCAGTCATGATTCATCCATCCTCACACCTTTTGTTTCTCCTATTTTATTCTTATGATTTATTTATTTATTTCTTGAGACAGTCTTGTTTTGTCAACTAGACTAGAGTGCCATAGCATCTTCAGCCTAGCTGAACCTCAAACTCCTGGGCTCAAGCCATCATCCTGCCTCAACCTCCTAAATAGCTGGGACTTCATGCACTTGCCACCAGGCCTGGCTAATTATTATATTTTTAGTAGAGATGGGGGGGTCTTGCTTTTGCTCAGGCTGGTCTTGAATTACCTGACTGAATGATCTTCCATCTCAGCTTCCTGGAGTGTTAGGATTACAGGAATAAGCTACCACATCTAGCCTTTTTCTTAAGTATTTTAAAGCAAATCATAGGCATGACATAATTTCACCCTTCAATATTTCAGTATGGATCTCTACACATAAAGACTTACATAATGTCATACCTAACAAAAGGAGTAATACACAATCCATGTTTACATTTCCACAATACCTTTAAAATTTTTCACTTATTCATTCAAATCAGGATTATATTGACTATATTTTCTTATTTTCTGTATTCTTGATATTCTGTCATTTGGAGCCTTAATCATGGAGAGATTGCCCTTCTGAGGGCTAACTAGTGCACAGCCAGCGAACAATTCCTTTGAGAGTATACCTCTGATACACAAACCAACCAAACCAGAGTCCATACTCCCAACTATCTGCTTTATCAAATGCTCACACACCAAGTCAATATTCCTCCTGCTCTAAATCACCCCAGGGCCAGGTATTGGATAAGTAGGAATCATCCCTATACCCCAGAGCCCACCAAAATTTTTCAAACTGTCCAATCCTAACCTCACTCAGTATGCCTTACCCATTCCTTCCCATGAAATGATGTAGTCATCTGTGGCATGCCATGCCTTTTATTTCTAGGGATTTGAGTATTAACTTCTTCCTTCATTTCCATGTCTGCTGTCTCAAAACAAATCCCACGTACATTTTAACACAAGGTTCCTAATATACTCCATACACTATATTTGACTGATATGTCTCTTAAGTCTCCTTTAATCTGTAGGATTCCACTTACCTTTTTTGACATGAATACTAAAAAAAAGTCTTAGTTAAGATATGGGGCCATTAATTCTTTAAAATTTCCTAAATTATGGATCTGGTTGTTTGCTTGTGTCATTAACTTGGCCTTTTAATTTTCCATGGTTCCTGTAAACTGGTAATTATATTTATAGACAAAATTGTCATTTTATTTATTTTTATTTTTTTGTAGAGACAGAGTCTCACTTTATCACCCTTGGTAGAGTACCATGGTGTCACACAGCTCACAGCAACCTCCAACTCTGGGCTTTGGCGATTCTCTTGCCTCAGCCTCCCAAGTAGCTGGGGCTACAGGTGCCCACCACACTGCCTGGCTAATTTTTTTGTTGCAGCTGGGCCGGGGCTGGGTTTGAACCCGCCACTCTCAGTATATGGGCCCGGTGCCCTACTCACTGAGCTACAGGTTCTGCCCAAAATTGTCATTTTAAATCAAATTTTGAAGCAAGAATACTTCACAGGTGGTACTCTGTACATCCACTGCATCACATCAAGAAGTACACGCTCTGGCTGATCTCACTTAGAGATGTTAATATAGATTAGTGGCTTCTGCTGTTCTGCTCCATCCATTATAAGCATCACATCAATCTTTTTTTTTTTTTTTTTTT